TGACAGTAATTATAAAGGCATCTTAAGTCACAGCACTCACTGGTGAGTGGAGGTGCTAAAGAGTAACCGCACCCAACAATGTCACAATGTCAGGGTTTACTCAACACAGCTTGCATACCCTTCTAAGATACTGGACCTTTAGCCTAAAGAGGTCAGCAAACACAAGATTTTTGGATACTGGTAAACAGGTCTTAAAGCTTTTGGGAAATGTCCAACAGCTGGAGCAAAGTAAAGAGACAATTTAAACAAAGGCATTTTGTTGTTGTGCTTTCTGATATATTATAGCATTGGTTATGAGCTCACTTCTTAGTGACTGAAGTTTTAGGCCTGCATTGTTTAGACCAGTGACTCCTAACCAGGGGTATTTGTACACCAGAGAGTATTTCTGTAGTTGCCAGGAAACTTGGAAAGACTGAATAGTGGAAGGTAAATCTTCTCGCAAATTTGAGTCATTGCTGACACGCACATTTGTTATTCCCATCAGCAGTATTCGTAGAGCAAATGTGGGCCAGCTGGCTATTGAAGAAGTCAGTTCACACAAATGGACATTCTGTTAACTGGTTGCTAAAAACTCCTCACACCAGCCACATTACGGTAACCTCTGCCCTCTTTCATGCACGTACAACCACACACCCACTCTCTCTTACCCACAACTCGTGACACAGGAGGATTATTGTGGTTTATTTAATGCACACAATCAGCCAACTTCTCACCATAATTTAAACCCAGCTTTTATTCAAAAGACACAATTAGTTAAAAACAGGCTGTGTCACATCTCCTTGCTTTGAACAATGAACTTGTTCATGAAAGAATTTGCATGACGCTGTCTACACAACTCCAACTTTGTTCCTGACGCTGTCAAACAGGCATGTAATAATCCTACTGTTGCATCAGATGACAGAACAGAAAATACTGTGTATTAATTTGAACAATGAAAAGAAATCTGCACGCTGTGAATATCAAATATCATATATCATCTGTCAGCTTGCTCTTCAAGCAATTGCAATAAACAGTATGAGGTATTCACTGTAGTATTAGTCCATTATCTTCAAGTGCATTATCATTTCACATCACTGGGTGGTGGCTAAGAAACATGCTGGATTCAGGGTGAGGCCATGCCTCTCCTACACACTCCCACCAGCTTGACTTATCTGGGTGTGCCTTTGCTTTAGCAATCAAACAGAAAAATGTCACTAAAAGTTTTACACCATGTTAACTTCCACCTACATACATACACCTATAGAACTACCCTGTACTGAGTATACAGACTGCCGAAACTGAAGACTGATTTCACTGGACTCTCTACACTTAATATCAATGTCTGTTGCCTATTTTAGCAATCATTTTCTGAACTTTATTCTGTTTATTTTGTTTAAAAGATTTAAGATGAGTATAAACTAGTCCCTATATTACTGTATAAGCATAATTATTTTATTTTATGTCCCAAAACCAGCTTTGATTATATTATTTTATTATTATTATATTGATTATATTGATAAGCTGTGATTAAAAAAGTGATTATTAAATGTTGAGTGCTGCAAATATTCTTCCAGTTGGTATCTATTCAGTGACTCCACTATAAGAACTCATAACTTGTGACCACCAGAGCAGTGGACATGTTGTGGACATAATGGAAAACTGATAAGGTGTACAGATTACTTCATCTGGACCTTTATTGCCTTTACACTTCAATATTATATATCAGGTTCCCATAGTAACAAACAACACAGAGCCGGCCCCCATAAAAGCTAGTCAGAGCCTGAACAGAACAGATCTTTGTCATTTTTGCTGATGCTGAGAGAAAAAACTGGTGATTCATACTGAACGAGGGCTTGCACGCCTACAGTACTTCACTCTGCCCTTCAATCCTATCAGATCTAGCCCAGTATCGTCAGTGTCGCTTGAAATAGTCTCAGAGAGGTTCGGAGTTCTTTTCAGAAGTCGCCGGTTATGGTGGAGTTTTAATGGAGTGCATTGTATAGTGAAAAATCTGCATTATTATACACTTACAAAGTCAAGCTGACCCAGGTGTGCCAACCTGCGACGTCATTAATGGTAATCTCTTACTTTTTTACAAAGACAGTTTGTGTGTTTGTGTGTGTGTGTGTGTGTGTGTGTGTGTGTGTATACTGGTACCTCTGACATCTGGGTGGCTGTGTTGCCTCTGGCCCCCAGCATCACCATAGCCAGAGCTGAAGAGATGCTAAAAGGAGAG